CGCCCTAGGTCGGGCCCGCCGAAACCATTGCAAGACCGTTTGGATTTGGGTTTCTTGTTTTACAGTGTTCACCTAGTGAATACTACCCGCCGCTGCTTCCGCGCGCAGCCTTTGCCGGGCTAAGGCGAAACAACGACGACTTCGCCGGGCGCGGCGCTCCGGGCCGCTTCGCCGCCTCGCGCGCTAGCCTGGCTTTGACGGGGAGATCTCGGGATCGCCGGGGCCGGCGCCCAGGGGCCCTGCGATTTGCGCCGTCTTGGCCCGGCTACGACGAAACGGCGATGAAAACCGCGAAGTGCGACGAGGTTGCGATTTTCCAATGTCACGAACGATTGTTTCTGGATCTGGCCCAGGACTTCCTCGCCAAAACGACGCCGATCATAGCGCCGACCGCCGAAACCACTGCGAGGGCGCTTGATTTCGGAGGGGCTTCTGTTTACAATGTTCCCTAGCGAATGCCATTCGCGCCGCTGCTTCCGCGCGCCGCCATTGCTAGGCCAAGGCGAAACGACGATGGGATCGCTAGCAATAACGCTCTGGGGCGCTGCGGCGTCTCATGCGCCAGCCTGGCTTCGACGGTGAGATCATGGGATCACCAGGGCCGGCGCTCTGGGGCGCCGCGGCTTTTCTGTCTTATCCTGGCTACGACGAAACGGCGAGGAATTCCGCGAAGCGCGACGGGGTCGCATTTTCCCAACGTTATGAATGACCTGTTCTGGCTCTGGCTCAGGACTTCCTCGCCGAAACGATGCCGATCACAACGTCGAAGATCCCTGGGCCCGCCGAAGCCATTGCGAGACCGTTTGGTTTCGGGGGGGTTCTGTTCAAACCGGTCGAATCTGAAAAGAATGTCATCATATGGGCCCCGCGCTGTCGTCGGAGCCCCACGTCGCGCGCGGAACTTAGAAGGGGTCCTCGAGTCGGCCTTGCCGGAAGGCTGTGGGTGGAAAGACTCAGCGCGAAATTGATTCGCAACGTTGGAATTTCGCCATTTACAGTCCGCGGGTTCAAGCCGGGCACGATCGGCGGCCGCCGCCGAAAATGCAAAACACCAGCGCGAACTACAAGTGTGCGTGTGTTTGAGCCCCGTGTTGTCGCGGCCCGGACTGCATTCACTCCTCGTGAACGGCGGAATTTCAACGTTGCGATTTGGCCCCGCGATAATTTATTACATTCGCGATATCTCGTCCTGAACATGCATTATCATGTCACCGCGCGTTGCGTCTGCGATGAGCTAGCATGCGCCCAGTGCGCGAATCCGCATCAAACAATCACACGCGGGCCACACGGTCGCGCCGCCACGCGCGCGTGTCGAGATCTTTCCAACACCGCTGGTGTTCGAATCATATCAAAGTTTGCCGTTTCCCAGGCACATGAGGACCAAGCGTCGTTCAACAAAGAGTTTGCTTGATCTCTTAGATTCCTGCGCGAGCACTTCCTCGCGATCGCCCGCATCCCCACCATCGCATCAGCGTCGTTTTCGTCACCGCCAACCGCCGCCATGGTCACCATCATCTGCCCATCATCTCCATCACCGACGCATGGGCAGTGTTGTCGTCATCGTCGTCACCAACATCGTCGCCGTCATTGGCCTAACTTCCGTCATCATCAACTACGCCATCACTACTATCATCTCATCGTTGTCACCTTTGTCGACGTCATCATGGTAGAGCGCCCGCCCGAACCACGTACTCGCGCTGAGGCGCCCGCGCACCAGCGCGGCCTCTGAGACGCGTTCGAGAGATGCCATAGGCAAGCGCTATCGCGCTATCGCGGCCACAGCTGTGCCAAACCAGGTTGCCGCTCTTCACGCGGGCTTGCGCGCGCCAGCGCGGCCGCAGAGATGCGCCAGCCAGGGCCGAGCAGTCACCGCAATCGCGGCCGCATAATTGTTGCAAATAATTGCGGTTGACAGGGTCGATGATTGCGCCAGCAGTGGAGTTGACAAGTGATGAGTTGGTGAACAGTATTTTGCCACCTAGGTTTCAACACGTAGACTGCCACCTGGAGTCTTGCACTAGAAGAAATTCGATTTCGACCTTCCACCGAACCTGGAGTAAACCTTTTTGTTCACATTACTTTTTGTATTACCAGGTTGCCTCACGACCAATTAACGTTGTACAAGCCAGCGTTGATCTCGGCACCCCGCTGATCGCTGCCCAGTAACAGTGTGCGGTGCACACGTCGACGCCATGAGTATGTTATTCCGGATGCTGTGTCAAACATTATGCGAAGAACATGCGCGCGACGCCGCGCATGAATGTCAACGCCATTAAATAACCATCGGTTGGCGTCCAAAGTCAGGACATATTGACGCAAGCACAATGGAACATGCTTGTTTTGTCAACAACAGGTGGTTCGATATCAGCACGCGCGCACTCGCTGACTTCGTACGCAGCCCAGAGGTTGTTGGATGCGTTGCCGATTGGGAGCATGCGGGCCATGCGCGAGCGCATGCCGAGCATGTTCAGCATCCGTCGCGCGCATTCAAGTTTGCCAAAACATACGCCGCGGGCCACGCGCGCGTGTCTGGGCGCGCACGTCGAAATATCCGACGTCCCAAGCATGCTAAGACGGGTGAGGCCAAACACGTGGATATTCATTCGTTTTCCAATCACGAGCTACCGATATGCGAGCGCGCATGTCCTCACCATCCTCATCAGCACGGCTTATATTCAAGAGGTTTACGCCATTCCGCCGCCCCACAGACGAGTGGTGAATTCTTCGGCGGAGGCAATTTCGGGACCTTTTGGGAAGTTGTTGAGCGCCTACTGGCGGTTTTTCAGGCGTTTTTTTTTTCAGGCGTTTTGGGAAGTTGTTGAGCGTTTATTGGCGGTTTCGGATGTCTTCTTGGAACGGAGGGCTTGAAAGTTCAGTTCGAGTTATTTCTCTTGGGCTCCTCTTTGGAGCTTGCTTCCTTGGGCTATTTTGGGCGGGCCTTGGGCTGTCTTAGGACCCACTTCGGCCGTGTTGGTGCCCTCTTGGAGGTTTCTCGGGGCGTCTTAGAGCGATCATGGGGTCATCTTGAGCCGTCTGAGGCGCTATTGAAAGCAACATAGCGAATACGTTCAGCCTAGAGGATGTCCCAAGGGATTTTGACGATTATGCTTGCTTCTTGGGGCCCTCTCGGGGGTCGTCTTAGAGCCCTCTTGGGGCGTCTGTGAGGCCTCTTGGGCAGTTTGGGGCTATCTTGGTCGTCTTCCAGGACTCCTGTGCGTGTTGGAATCCTGCTTAAGGAAACATAGATCGACTCGTAAGCCTACTGGCGGCCACAAAGTGTAGAAATGTGTGCTCTGGAACTTCCAGGAGAGCGTTGATGAGCGTGCACTTCCTCACCATCCCCATCAGCAGAATCTGTATCCTCATCACCAGCCTCATCAGTTTCATCGTCATCACCGTTGTCATCATCCTCATCCTCATCCTCATCCTTATCCTCCTCCTCATCATCATCATCGTCGTCATCATCACCACCTCCGTTCCCATCGTCAGTGTCGATGGCGTCGCCCTCGTCAAAAGTTTTGCGCGCGCACTTCCCCATGGTCCTCACCAGCATCATCATTATTACCATCATCGACAGCGTCATCCTTGCCCTCGTCATTATCATCGCCATCATTTCCATCGCCATTACCATCTACGTCGTCGACACGGCCCTCATCGTCGTCATGAACATCATTGTCGTCATGGGCATCGTCGCTGTCGCCGCCCAGCTTAGCTTGAACCACATGTCATACACACCCAGAGTGCAATAACGCACTGTTTGGAGCCCACGCTGACAGACATGCGGTGTGGTCCGAAATTTGGTGTATCGTATCGCCAATGTTCTTGTTTAGTTATATTGCGTGCTCACTTGAGGCGCGATGCGCAAAATGTAGCTTTCCGGACGCATCGATACCGGCGCGTGTGATTGTGTGATCACGGGGTCCACTCTGGGTGCGCGCAGCTGGTCTGGCGTGAGTATGCAGTGGCTGGTTTTCGAATTCGAAAAACCAGGGATCTTGAATTCAAAAGCCAGGGATTCCGAATTCAAAAACGAAGGCTTCTGAATTAAATAACCAGGGATTGGTTTTTTAGTTCAAAAAACATGGAATTTGAAGTCAAAAATCCAGGATCCCTCGCGTAACGACTCTTCGGTTGGCGCAGGCGAGTGGGGGGGGAGGGGGGCGCTGGCGGCACGCACACGGGGGCGGGGCAAGGGGGCGGCCTTCAAGCCAAGGAGGCAGAGTGCTTCGTTGAGAGCTTCTGGTCGTCGATGCGAACACTCCCTCCTCCTCCTCCCCCTCCTTCTCCTCCACCTCCTCCTCCACCTCCTCCTCCTCCATTCCTCCCCCTCCTCCCCCTCTTCTTCCTCCTTGTCTCTCACTGTGTTCTAGAGCGCGCCCACACCCAGTGGGTTGCGTCCATGTCTCTCCACTCTTCTCCCTTTCTGATCCTTTGTTCACCCTCGGCCTCCGCGGAGGCTCCTTTGCGTTCATTGCTGCGTTATATCATGCTTACCTCACTGCATCAAGGCAGCCATCGATGCCTGTCTTTCTGTCAAGGCGACAGAGATCATAGGTGCTGTTCGGTTAGCCACGTGCCTCCTTACCAGGGGGAGATAAGAATAGGCATCTCTTGTCCCGCGCCCACCTCGACAAAGTCATGGGGAAGGCGCGCGGGGAGGGAGCATAGTTCAGGCAGGAACGGACGTCTTCGGCCACGCTCCACCTCCTCCTCCTCCTCCTCCTCCTCTTCTGAGACTCTCACTCCCTCCGCTGCAGGGGGGTCCGCAAGCAGGAGAAGACGGCTGGGTAGGCCGAGCCTCCGGAAAAGCGCCACGAGGAAGCCTTCGCAACTTTGGTTCCACGAGCTCACTGGTCTTGCCATGCGAGCTTGCGAGATGGCGAGGGGGGAATCGGGAGAAGGAGGGAGAGCGCAGATCAGGAGCAGCAGCAGCAGCAGCAGGAGGTGGGCGTCGCAGAGTTCAGGATGTTTGTTCACTGGCAGCGGAAGCGGCGCGGCAGGCCAGATCCTTCGATGGCGTGGCGGTCCCCGACAAGCCGCTCGATGCCGCGCTCGTTGCACTGGAGATCCTTGGTTGCATTCTGCTCTGCTCGCCCTCGCTCTGCAGGTGCTCCCGCGTGCGCGCTCGAGGGCGATGCGCCCCCCTGGGCCAGACGCCGGCGAGCCCCAGGGCCGTCCCGGATGCACTCCGTGCGAGCTGCTTCGAGAGAGGGCGCGGCCTGGCGCCAGACCCTGGTACGCCTGAGGCCGTGTAAGGTGCATGCCGAGCGTGTCAGATTGACGATGGCGCGTCGTGGGGCCAGGCAGGGCTGTCCCAGGCACGTGTCAGGTGCACTCCGAGCATGCCGGCTCGAGGATGCGTCCCAGGACGTCCTCTTGGAGACGACGTCGCGTTTGCCATGCTTCCATTGTCGCTTTATCTGGAGCCTTGTGTTCTTATTGTTCCGATGGTGACCGATCATGAACGCAGCGTTTGTTAGTATGCATCCGACAACTCCACATCGAACGTGGCGCGTGTGTGTGCTCATGGTGTTTGGTTGTGGTGTTGTCTCAGGAGGGCAGTGGGCTCGTTGTCTGGCCAGTGGCGCCGTATTTGAAGCGCTGTGATCTTATTGGGTTTTCCGGTGGCGCCCTACCATCAACGCAATGTTGTTGCGAATGCCTGACGGCCGGTGCTGCCGACCCTGAAGGGCGACGACGACGACGACAGCGAGCGTTTTCGGGGGCCTCTTGGGGGTAGATTGGGCGCCTCTCGGGAGTCTTGGCGGCGTCCTATCGCCAACGCAAACTTATATTGTGTTTTTGGTGGCCCCATATCGGGCACAAGGTGTTTAGTCACAATGTGTGTGCTGGCGCCCTACTGGAAGCGCTGTGGTGTTTTCCGCCGCAGTTCGCGACACCACTGCTGGAAAGGCTTATGTATATGGAGCAGCCGCCGGTGTCTGGGTACTCGTGGATTGATGGCCGCTTTGAGGCCGCCTTGGGCCCGCTGGGCTCTTTGAGGTAGGTTTAGATTTCTTATGATGGGCCCTCGCATATCTTTAATAGCCCCCCCCATGTGAGTCTTGGGACAACCTTGAGCGGCCTGGACGTGGATGCACGTTGTCGGAAGTTGGTGATCTGCTGCGTTGAAGGTCCGGCTATAAACAGCAGAGAGGGATTGCGTTGTAGAGAGAAGGGGCAGGAAAACACAGGCAGGACGAGGAAAAGGAGCACGATAGGAACGACGACTTTGAGCGTACCCCAAGGTTTCGTGGGATAAGTATTGAGTATTGCGTGTTCGGGCCCGGGGGATGGGGAGTGCTGCCCTGCGGGTGCGGCCAATAAACAGTCGAAGGTGAAGTGGATTGTGCAGAGAATGTGAGACAATGCACATTCGAGCCGGACCGAGGTACAAGATCGAGGCCGGTCCTTGGAGGGTATCTAATTTTCTTCGCGTTCGTTGGATGTTGTTATGTGCATTTTGGTGAGGGTACCCTTTGATGTTCTGTGTGTTTTGGCCGGCGGAGGGTCTCATGTTTTGAAGGATGTTGTTACGTCTCAGGTCCGCCAGGACACAGTCGAAGGGGAATTGGATTGTGGAGAGAGAGAAGATACGAGAGAATGCACCTTAAGAGTATAGGCCGCATTGGGAAAGGAGACCGATCTGAAGACTCCGAGGGCCCGGAATGTTGCGTCGAGGAGCTCGGTCCCGCACCCCACCGCACCCCCCTCGAACGCGGGAGTTGGGACCTCGCGGGCGCGGGAGAGGGGGACGGGGGACAGCAGTACTGGACCCAAACGTTGTTTTGCTGGACTTCGGCTGTGTTTTGTTTTTTCGCTTTGGCAGGGAAGGTACAGGAAAACAGGTAGAGCAGAACGAACAACAAAACGATAACAAAACGAAAAACAACGTTTAGATACAGCCCTGGGGGACAGCCCCTCATCTCGCACGCCTCCCAACCCCCAGCAAGTGGAGGTCTACAGACGTTACGTCCTACGGGTTGGTACGGTCAACGCGCTTGGTAAGGACGCGCGCCTTCCTCCAGGGTACCCTTGTGTCCCTGCTTCTGCGGCCCGTCCTTTGCCGTTCTCACTGGTCGCCACCCCGCCCCAGGAAGTCCCGATTTCGGCATCCAAGGGTCTTGCGTCCTTGCCGCCCGTCCTTAATACACGTTTTGACTGCAGCAGCAGCAGCAGCAGGAGCATAAGCCGTAGCAGTAGCAGTTGACAGCATTATTTCGATCATTTGTGCGAGTACCAGGGCAACTGCAACGCATTACCGTTCATCTCTGCTACCCCTCTTACAAGCTTTTTCGAGTGTGGACACATGCTGATCACATTGTTGTTAATGCTGGTTTGAATGGGCCGTTACTTCTCAGGAGTATTCCAAGACTGGTGCGTACACCCCGCACCACACCGTGGGCACAGCGTTCCGGCGCCACGGGGAGTGAAGCACTCTTGCCGGCGCGCAGACGTCATTCTTGTGTGTGCGTGCGTGTTCGCGCGCGTGTGTGAGTCTCTCTCTCTCTCTGTCTCCCTCTTCCTCATATTGTCTCTCTTTCTCTCTCTCTTTTTATCTTTGTCTAACTATATATATATCAAGTGTGCCATGTATGTATGTTTACGTGTGTATGTATGTATGTGTATGCATGTATCTCGCTCTCTCCACTGTCAGTCTATGATCTCGATCGCAGTGTCCCCGTCTCTCTGTCTCTCTCTCTCTCTCTCTCTGCCTTTCTTTCTCTTGTCCCATGACAAATGCGTGCTTGCTTCCCGAGGGGATGCTTGCCGGGTCACACGCTTGCTGAGAGCATGTTTGCACACGTCTGGCACGAGCGAGGGCACGAGCGCGCCCCTCCGGCCCCCGCTCTCCACGATCCATGTTCCGCCTCTTGTTCGCTATGGTCCAGCCTTCTCTTCAGGGCTCTTTTCGATCCGATCGATCTGGTTCGATATCGATTCCGAGATTCGATTCCGATACCCCGACGATCGGATGTGTCTGTATGTTTGCACGGTGCCGTTGTGCATCTTTGTGCGGCCGATCCGATTCGATTTCGACTCCGTGCCGATGCAGCCCGATCCGACGCACGTTCCGATTCGATCCGATTTCCCGATTCAATGTTGATTGATCTTGGTTGCTCCTCCTCAAACTCTAATGCGCGTGACGCGTGAGGACGATGATAGGGAGAGGGAGCAGCATCAGCGGGTCCACAAAGAAGAGGACGGCGACGGGAAGGAATACGATGGAGGAAAGAGGGTATGATCAGCCGCGCACAACGAGCAGCTACGGGGGAGGAGTACGAGTATGAGTATGAGCACATGACAAAGTCAACCGGTGTCAACAAGACGCGTATGATACACAAAGTGGCATGACTGCATGAATTATAGGCGGTCTCGAGCCCTCTTCTCATTGGTGCTCAACACCTTAGGCCAGAGACACCGGCTGATCCTGTCAAGATATTCCACACGATTGGGGGTAATCTGGCGGGAGCCAGGACATCCTGGCTGCTCCCCCTTGGGTGGTCCAAGTGCCAAGCCTGCTCATTATAAGAGGGTCTGAGCATGAGTGACTGAGTGTGTGTGTGTGAGTTTTGCGTGTCAGTGAGCCTGAGTAGGAGTGAGTCTGATTGTGAAGGAGACGAGCGTGAGTGGCCTGCGCGTATGAGTGAGTATGATCAGGATGAGTCGGAGTGCGTCTGAGTTTGAGTGGCATGGTCTGAATACGGGTGAGTCTGAGTATGAGGGAGTCTTAGTATGAGTGGGCCTCAGTGTCAGTGAGTCTGAGTTTGAGCGAGTCGGTGTGACTGTATCTGAGCATTTGGGAAGGAGAAGAAGGGAGTGAGGTGAGGAGGCGGAGGCGCGACACGAATGTCAGGAACCTCGTACTCAGGATCTGGGGATGATGGATAAGAGAAGGGAGGGGAGGCACGTCTTCTGGCTCTGCTTCCAGCCGTGGCACACTGTGAGGAGCCGGGGCGTGGGCAGAAATTGCCTGTGGAGGAAGCACAGGTTTGGCTTGCCATGATGTCTGGCATCAGGGGTTGCGGCGCCGACCAGCTTGCCATTCAGCGAAGGATCGGCAGCGCACAGAGGGGAGCTGGGGCGATATGGTGGGGGGTCTCCGACGTAACCACGCATGGGGGCCTCGAGGCCCTCCAGCCGGGAACAGAGCCTTCGCAGGGGCTTCGGATCGTTTCTTAGAGGCCCTCTTGCCTTCCTGGCCGCTCATCTCGTTCCTCCCCTTGAGTCGGGCGTGCCCCTCCACAGGAGGAAGTTTCAAGAACAGTCGAATAATAGTCTGGCGACGATCTTCTATTGTTCTTTGATTTTTGTTTGGGCATTTTCTGGCTATGTTTCATTTTTCTTCCAAAATTCCCCTGTAGGAGGACATGCCCGACCTAACCTCCGACGAAGGCATCTATACACCACCACCGTGCCAGGCCAGGGCCATCCTAGGCCCTAGGATGGTGTACAGACCTTCTTGGTCTCGGCCAGAAGGGCATCTACACCATGCCAGGGCCAAGATGGCCCTGGCATTGCACTAGTGGTGTATAGATGGAAAGTTGAACGCGTTGCCGGAGAGCATCGCTCAGAGCGTTGATTTAGAATAGGTTTAAGCATTGCAAAAGTATTGTCGGAAATCATGTCATGGGACGTGTGTCTGAGTTGATTGTTAAACGACATGAGGAATTTAGGCATGTGTCATGGTTTGGTTGGATGGCTCTCAGGTTATTGATTTTATTCGTGTGAACCGAAACCACGGCAGTGTGTGGGATTGCAGTGTTCCTTCGCACAGGAAGCAAGCAATCTTGCCCGTGAAAAGAAGGACACCAGAGAAGAACCTCAATCAGGGCTATAGGGCTATTGAGCTATAGGGCTATAGAGCTATAGGGCTATAGAGTTGTATGGCACCCCCGGGCACCCCGGGGCACCCCAGGGCACGCCCGGGCACCCCCGGACCCCCCCCGGGCACCCGGGCACCCCCGGGCACCCAGGCGTGCGGCAAAAATCGGCGGCAAATTTAACCTAACCATATGAATCCGCTAGGACCACTACAGAGGCAAGCTCTGATTGGGGAACTTGCCGACATTGGTGATAGGTGTGGTGTCTTTGTAGTTGCCGACGTTGGTGATAGGTGTGGTGTGTTATTTCATGTGTTCTTCCCGGAGTTGCCCCTGATGAAAAGACAATTTGGGCATCCAGCGGAGTACCATACTTTGGCAAGGTCAGCTGTCCTGATGTGCAACTGTCGTGGAATCACCACGTGCTCTTTCGGCCTAGCTAGAGGAGGTGGCACTGGAAAGCCCGCCAGCTCAGCTGGTTCGATCACCAATTTCACCCGTACCTCTGGCTCGTCAGACGCAGGGTTTGGTTTCCAAGGTATCCTTTTTTCATATGATTCAAGACCAGCGCAACGTCGGATGTCATCTACGGTACGACCTTGCTTTTATTACACCATGCGGTGTGCCAACAACAACCCCGTCCGAATTGTCAGAGAGTCCAAGCAACACACACTCTACAAAGTAACCTTTATTGCCGACCGCTGACAAATAGAACACAAGTTCACCGAATTGCGGCAATGCTTTTGAGTACCGTTTCCTTTTCGGACGCTCGTACGGCGTGCGGTCGTTTGTGCCTATTTGGCACCTGGCCAACGCACATGAAGCAAGATGTGCAAGCCATGGCAACACGGGATGTTCAGAAGGAATGGTCCATTCCACATTCGTTTCAGGAGCATCTTTCAGTATACGAATGTTACCAGACATAATTTGAATCGAACGCTCCACCATGCCATTTGCCGGATGGTCTCCAACAGCGTCGTTTCAAGGACAAGTTCGTACGATCCATCACATCGAGAGGCGTTGGCTATTGGTCTGAAGAAAAGCAACTTCTTGTAACCAAGGTGATGGATGTCACCGATTAGCCATTACACGGCAACTACGAAGACATGATTCATGATCAGCACTCGCTAGACATATGCAAGTGGGGTCATCACTTAGACCAGGGAAGAAATGGCCAATCGAACGAGCATTGACTAAACAAACCTTGTCTAATGCCACCCTTCGGTCGAGAGCTTCCCCGCGCCCTCGCACGCAGTGCGGGCACCAAGACCGGTATTGACAATGACATTTGTTCTCGCGATCGATGATATTCTGATGCGTTGGTTCGTTCGGGTCTACATATTTAGGTAAAAACACGAAGGCGAAGCATCACATTCTGGACGGTTTGCCCAATCTTCTTGGTCGCCCACCCGCCCGGTTGCAGTCAGAGGCGGAGGTGCCCCCCTGACACGCTGAGATGTCGAATGCTCGCCCGGATGCCCTTGGGTAGTGCGGGCGTTGCTCCCTACATCCACGTTGCCCTCAGCGCCAATTGGGTCAAGATTGTCAGCAAGACTTGGGTTGCACGCAGAGTTCAGTGTGAAGCTGAACGTTTTGCATTTCTGCAAGGTCTTCCGCCTGTCTCGACTGCCGACGGAGAACTCCGGAATCGCCAGCTCCATGAGATGCCATCGATGGCAGAAAAGGGTTTCTTCTTTGATTTAAGAGCCGCTGTGCAAAATCTGAAACTTCATTACGAACGTATTAGTGTCCCTGTCAGAGTGTGTCGTCTTAGGTTGTTTTGGAAAATACAGCCAATATGTATTGATCACGATGTGTTTGACGCAGACAGCAAAGGACTACGAACATCTGTTGCACGAGTCAGCAACGAACACAGCCTGTTCCTGTCAAGAGCCTTCAGCTTTCGGCTCCCCTCGTCGGAAACCTTCGTGCCACGTGCGCTCCTGTAGTCCAGGCCGCTTGGTGGGCCACGACACCCTTGTACCTTGTCGTACACAAAAAGCAAACCTACGCGGAATGACTGGCACACATGTTCCAGAATCCGCTTTTGTTGTTCGACGTTATAAGGAATTTCGTTTTAGGGCGCATTAGTTGGGAATGTTCGTAGGCAAGTGGGTCGATGCACAAACTAGCGTTGTCATTTGAACCGATCTGGAAATATCCAGTGCCAGATCGAATTGGACAAGCAGAGCAAGAAGCAAACCTAGGAGCTTCCACTGGAGCAGTTTTCGGCTTCACCGTCTCTGCGGGATCGGCCGTCAATTCCAGTTGTTTGCTAAGTGCTTCGTCCAACAAATCGTAATCGAAAAATCTTGGTTGGTAGACGATGTGCGCGGATCCGAGCCCGGATTGTTTAGCACCGCCAGAACCAACCTTTCGAATTCGATGTTGTCCGTTTGCGGTTCAGGCTCACCGAGAAGCTCTTCACGAATTGCGTTGGAAGTGTCGACTTGCATCTCGTGCGCGGAACGAGGCTGCCGACTACGACAGTGTTGTGTCCCCCCCATTATCCGCAAGAGTTGCAATAGCCGGTGGCTTGACGGATTTGGGCGTACGTGGCATAAGAATTTGCATTCAAATGCAAGTGGTTTTGCACTTTACCAGGGCACATGCCAATCAGCACAGACGTTTTGATACCATCGTGAAATGGTTTCGACCTTGTTCTCTTTTCGTAAT